GTGCCCGGCTCCCGGTCTCCTCGCGCGAGGACAAAGTCCGCAACCGCCAGCCCCGCGGCGCGGGCACCGGGCACTCGGCGTCAGACGAGGCGGGCAGGCCTGCGCGCGGCTCCCACCTGGCTCCAGACCACGGCCCGTCTCCAGGCTCGGCCCCCCGCGAGCACTCACCATTGTGGTTGACCCAGGTCGGCTTCAGGAGCTTCATTGTTCGGCCGCCGCCGCCGCCGCCGCCGGGCTGAGGCGAGAGCCGCGTCCCTCAGCGCGCCCGGGCCATGGAGCCGCCGCCGCCCGCGTCGCCCGCCCTCCAGCCGCCGCCCGCCTCCCGCCCTCAGCGCCGCCGCGCCATCGTCGGCCCGCGACCCCCGCCGCCGCCGCCGCCGCCGACCCCCGCGCTCGGCCGCCGCCGCCGCCGCCACAGCCGCATCCCCCGCGCCGCTCCTCCTCCGGCGGCTCCCGGGCAACGCCGGAAGTCACGGCGCGCACCTGCCAAACAGCCCCGGCGGGAAACCGCTCCCCGCGCTCACGGGCCGCCCGGCTCCTCAGCCGGCCGGGCGGGAAGGCGGCTCCTCTTCGGGTCCGCCCCGCACGGCCGCGAGCGAGGGGCCGGCCGGCAGGGAGCGCGCGGACGGGCGAGCGGGACCTGGGGTGCGCCCCGGCCGGGCGGGGCCGGGCGGCGCAGACGGCCTGGCCGCTCTGCCCGCCGGTGCGGAGCCGACTAATTAACAGGCTTCCGCCGCCCCCAGCGCGTGTTCATTTGTCGCCCGCGAGCGCAGGCCACGTGCCGCGCCGGTGCAGGCACCGCGGCCCGGCTCCGACGTCGGCGAACGAGCCGGAGCGTTTACTGGACGCCCAGGCCGCCTCTCGTGCGCGGACTCTTAGCCCCCTCGGCCCCGCCGGCCTCACTGCTGGTCTCGGCCCTCGCGGGGCGCAGGCCGAGCGGCCAGGGAGAGGCAAGGGAGCGGCGCCCGCGGGAAGGAAGCCCCTGATCGGCGCGAGGTGCGAGGCGCCGGGCGCGGGGCGGGGCCACGTTGGAGGCAGGGCTAGACGCGGCGGCCGGAACGCGGGAGCGCGGGGCTGCGCGGCTGTCGGACCCGAGAGCGGCGCACCGCGGGCCGGACCGCCTAGGGGCGCGCGCCCGGAAGCGGCCGTCGGCGACCGGGAGGCATGGCGGCCGCGGCGCTGAGAGCGGCTCTGCGCCCGCCGAGCCGGTGAGCGCGGAGGGGCCGGGACGCGGGTGCGCGGGGACGCGGATTGAGAGCTTCCCTGCTGGCCTTGGCGGTCTCACCCCGTAGTTACGGGGCTCGTGAGTGACCTTAACGGGGAAGCGGGCGTTGATACACACTCGGTCTCTTCCAGGCTTCTGGGAGCGCGGCCGACGCAGACGAGGGACGCGCACCAGCGGGCTTCGTTGCTGTCGTTCTGGGGACTCGTGCCCATGAGGTAACCCGGCCGCGGGCCCGGCCTGGGGGCTCGCGCACGGGAACCCAGCGAGCAAGGTTGCTCGATATTCAGTCTGCGAAGTTTCTCAGTTAAATTTAGATGGATGCCCTTATGTCTTTTCGTATGAAATACTGTTATATCTGTAGTCAGAGGTCAAAAGTTAAATGCAAAAGTGGTTTAAAGAAAAGTTACTTAGCTCTCAAGGGATTCTTGTGTAAAATTTTAAAGAGCACAGACAGCACTTCCGTTTCTTACTCTCCGGAAAGGTGGGGGGAGGTGAGAGGATTCTTTTTTCCACCTGGGACCCTGAATACTTTCTAGGGACTTAACTCATAAAACTCAGTCTTGATGCTAGAGATTCGGTTGTTCTGAATAGTAACTTATCAGCATAGGAGATGTGTTCCTGAGGGTAAATCAGACTTTTGTCCGTGCTCGAGGATAGGGAAATTTGTTAAGAAATCTCAAAAAGTATAAACAGGAACTTGCCAGTTATTTTTATTATACTGTCTCTCTTAGTCAAATCATTTTTATAAATCACAAATCCATTTAAAATGTGAGTAACGAGCTTCTAACGGATAACAACAAGGTCCTATAGTGTAGCACAGGGAACTATATTCTATATCCTGAGGTAAAGCATAATGGAAAAGAATATAAAAAAATGTATATATGTATAAATGAGTCACTGTACTGTACAGCAGAAATTAATACATTGTAAATCAACTATACTTCAATTAATAAATAAATAATGTGAGTAACGAGCTTCTAATTCATCAGTTTGGTATTTTCACTTTTCAGTGCTATCCCAAGGCCCACCTGAAACCCCTCACTAAAGATGAGCACTTCCCTTTAATTTATACCCTGACACCCCACGGAGTTTTTCCACGCCTTCCTGGGTTGACCATGCCCACACAGTTCTCATAAGGACCCCCCGTGGAGGCCGTCTCCCTGCCACACTCAGCATGGGAGGCCAGGCCCACACGGTCCTTTCCTGCGGGAGAGCTCGGTACAAGTTTGCAGGCACTTTCCCTAGTGCCATGTCTCTACACGTTCACGAGGCCAAAGAGGAAAATGTTTAGTGTTTGCTTTATCCTTTAGAGCAGAACCTCTGCAAAAGAAGAAGGTGGACCCTAAAAAAGACCAAGCAGCAAAGGAGCGCTTGAAAAAGAGGATCCGACGACTGGAAAAGGCGAGCCAGGAGCTCGTTCCCATTGAGGATTTTATCACGCCTGTCAAGTTCTTAAATAAAGCGAGGTACGGGCCCTCTAGGGTTGAGGTCTTCAGAGCAAAGGAGTTCTGTGACCTTCAGGAAGTTCTGTCTGCACTTCACACCTGTAATGGGAAGGGGTCATAGGCTTGGGCTGGCTTGGCCCTGTTCTGAGTCCTCTTCTCCTGGATTGTCTCATGGGAGGTGGAGAAAGCATTCCTGGGCGCTGCTCCTGAATGGCTGACTGTGGGAAGGAAGCTCAGGGCAGATGCTGGAGCAAGTTTGGAGTGTTGCTCTTGCAGAGGAGTTTAGCTGTGACTGACGACTGGGGCCCTGGGCCTGCAGCTCTTACCCCTTCCTGCTGGTAGGAAACCCTTAGCCTCCTGCTCTAGGATGCAAATGCTCAGAGCTGGGATGTGTCGTCTGTGGGGTTGGTGGGATTGCTGCCTTCTTGTCAGAAGTGTGTACCATTTATAAAGTAGTACCTCGCCATGTAAGTGGGACAAGGCAGGTGCTTTTTTGGGTCTCCAGGGCTGATACAGGCTTTGACTCCCTGGGATATTGGTGTCCGTTTTCATAACACCATTTGACTTTTCTCCAAAGCCACGTTTCCCCACCAGCAGGCTCTGCTTGGCACAGAGAACGTGCTGCCACAATCTGCTGAGAGCACTGTTGTTTCTTTTCTTCACGTAAAGAAAATGGCAGTGGTTCCAGGTGTCAGTTGCCGCTGCTGCCACATCCAACATTCTGTCCCTTAATTTGTCCCTAAGTTCCATCTGCGTCTGGCAGTGGGGACACTCAGGTCCCGTGCAGTCGCTTGGCGCCCCCAGGTTCATGCCCTTGGCTCTGTGTTCCCAGGCAGCGGCCGCCAATGGAACTCCCCTTTGAAGAGAACGAGCGGAGAGCCCTGCTTCTGAAGAAATGGGCACTGTACAAGCAGTGTGAGCATGAGATGGAGAGGGGCGCCATTGCGTCCCTGCTCGAGGCCCAGCAGGAAGCTCTGCAGGAGCTGAAGCTCACGGCCCCAGAACTCCATGCCGAGGCCACCAAGCGGGACCCCAGTCTGTTTCCCTTTGAGAGACAAGGGCCAGACTACACACCGCCGATCGCCAACTACCAACCCCCGGAAGGCAGGTACCACGATATCACCAAGGTGTACACACAGATGGAGTTCAAGAGATAGAGCTGCAGGCAGCTGCCCTCAGGACGCTGCCGTCGGGAGCCTGCACCCCCAGGCTCAGGCCTGCTGTGAATAAATGCATTTAACCAAGTGTCTTGCCTTAGGTCAGAGTCACAGTTAATTCACCTGAGCATGCACGGGGGTTGGGGAGGCTGCCCTTCTTGGCCTGGTACTGGGGAGAGGAAGGTCAAAACACTGACCACTGTTCTCCAGTGAAAAGGAGGATTCCAACTGTGTGAGGCAGACGCCACCAGCAAGAGGCACAAAGTGACCCCAGGAACGGAGGTGAAGGACATGCAGCTGTGCTGTGTGTTGCCTGCACCTGGAGGAGAGGCAGGGCTGGCTCTGGGTTTCAAGCTGTGGGGTATGGGGGAGGCTGAGAAGAGTGTCGAGTGGCAGGGACCCCACTGCGTGAGGCCATGTGTCCTCCAGGAGGGTATGACGCCTGGCCGGGCAGAGGCTGCTGTTAGTCTGGAGCAGGGAGTATATGAGTGAGCTCTGGCACCAGAACAAAACACCACAGACCAAGGAGCTGAAACGACTCACATTTATTTCTCTCAGTTCCGGAGGCTGGATGTCCAAGATCCAGGTGTCGGCTGGGCTGGTTTCTCCCAAGGCCTCTCTCCTTGGCGTGTAGACAGCCATCTCGCGCACCCACGTGATCATCCCTCTGTGTGTCTGTGTCCTGATTTCTTATAAGGACACTAGTCATTGGATTAGGGCCTACCCACGCAACCCCATTTCACATTAAGCACCTCTTTAAAGATCCATCTTCAAATAGTCTCAGAGCGGCAGGGGGTTAGACCTTCCCCGGAGGAACTGGGGGTACATAATGCAGTCCAACAGTGAGGGTGCAGTGTAGGCAGAGGTCCACTTGTACCCCTTGCATCACCACCTCAGAAAGGCTTTGGTTCTTCACCACCTTAGTGCAAACAAACCAGCGGAACACTCCACCTGAGTAAGAATTCAGATTATCCATTTTCCTAGAGGGCCCTGGCTACACAACCCTGGAAAATCACACCCCGTCCCCACCTCATCAGCATGTGGCCCTTTCTCTGCCTAAAGCCTCCAGCCTCCTCCAGGTCTAGCCTTGGGACCCTGAGCCTCCCCCACCTCCCAACTTACAGATTTCATCCACGAGGTTGTATGATCAAGTCAGTGGGTCATGGGCAGCTGTTTTGTTTTAACCTTTTATTTGGAAGTAATCATAGATTGACAAGAGGCTGGAAATCAACAGAGAGGTGCTGTGTGTGGTTCCTCCGGCTCCCCCCAGTGTCACATCTTACAGGGCCAGTCATGCCAGCGCCCAGAGATAGACTGCAGCCAGAGTAGGTCCAGGCTCCCAGATGCGGCTGTGCTCATCTGTGTGTCCACGTGTCACAGCACAGCCACCCCTGCAGTCCTGCACTATAGGATGCTGCCCCATGTCCCTGACCTCCGGCCCCATAATCGTCCGCATCCCTATAATTACGTCCTTTGACGGCGTCATGTAATGGAGCCAGGCCCAGCAGCAGTATCTCACAGGGTGGGGGCAGGTGCTGCTCCGCGAAGCCCAGCTCAGTGACAGCGCGCCATGTAACAGGATGCACCAGGTCACAACGCAAACGGCTTATCATTGTGGGCTCTGTCCCCAAAGTTTGAAAGATGATGCTCTGCCTTGTCACTGTCCATTTTCTTCACAGCTGATGTTTGAATGTTCACGTCTGTCTCCTGAACTCAACGGGACTGAGGCCACTTGTCTGTTTCAAGCCTGTGGTCCCAGGGTGTGGAGACATGAGGGGTGGACATGGGTGGACAGAGGAACATTTTCCAGGGTGACGATCATCTGCGGTGGAGCTCGCTCAGCATCCAAGAAGTTGTGGGACTCCTGATGGAGCCAGCACCTGGCCACAGGCACCCAAGGCCCTAACCCAGCAGCAGCAGGAGGGCGGCTCCACCAGGAGCGGCTGACAGCCTCCCTGCCTAGGTTTCACAGAAAGGACACAGGTGGAGCTGTAGCAGCCTCCCTCCTCCTCCTCCTCCTCCTCCTCCTCAGGGACCCTGGGTCTTCTTTATACTCACCTCTGCTGCGGGAGTCCTTTGTGCGCACCCCACCACTCACAGGTACACAGTCACAAAGGACACTTGCGGCACACAAGAGCAAACGTACATGATGGGAGATTTTACTCTCTTAATGTGTGCCCTTCTGAAGTGATGGATTATTTTGCCCCCAAGAATAAGTAAAATGATGTTGAACCACCACCTCTGGCCAGATCGTGAGGGAGGCACTGAGATGCCGCAGGCCTGACCCTCAGCACCACATGCTGGGGCCTGTTACACGGCACAGATGCTAAATCGTTTCACCCATAATAAAGAGACCTCTAAAGAACTAGTGTTCTCGTTGGTTCAAACACATATATTTTAAAAACATCTACAAGCGTGTAAGCATACAAAATTCTAATACTGGCCAGCACAACGTCAGGTTATAAATCTAACCCTTTCAAAATTAAACTGTGGATTTAATTTTCAGCTTCTGTTTGGAATCAAACCTGTGAAATGTCTTTTGATATATTCCACATTTTCAAAAAATGACCAGGGGAAATTCTGAGGGAAGGAGACCAAAATTCCATGTGTTGGGCTTGGGTGTCTTCAGCCAAGAGTCTAGGAACCCTCTTTACACAAGGTTGTGTGTCCTGGAGCTGTGGGCCGAGGAGGTGACGCCGCCCGCGCCTACAGAGGAGCAGAGGAAGTGCCCGCGGTGGGAGGACACCTGCGGCCAGCACTGCGTGGCCATCACCAGACCAGGGCCATACGGGGCCACCTGCGCATCCACACAGATCCGGGCTGCCCCTCGAGTGTTCGACTGAGGAGCCCAGCCCTTGGGACGGCCTCTCCTTGCTGCTGTCCCCAGGCCTGCCCGTTGGCCGCCCAAAGGGACACGCAGGGGTGCCTGGCTTCCTGGAGCTGCACGCTGAGTGAACTGGCTCTGAGTGTGGTGGGGCAGGCGAGGCTGGAGACGGGGACTCTGTGTCCCACGCCAGGCGGAAGCTCCCAGGGACCTTCTGGACTATTTGGGCCTGTCAGCGGTCGTTGTCCTGGGGCAGAGGGAGGTGCCAGTCTGCAGGGGGGCTCTGCCTGGGGGCCCACACCAGGCCGTGCTTCCGTGCAGCCCGGACTCTCGCCTGCTCGCTCTCACGTAGGGACTGCTGCAAAGGAGACCCGGTCACCTGTGGCCTCACGGGTGCCCTGTACCTCCCTCCTCTCAGTGCCCACCCACACACATGACAAACGCAGCCCAGCAAGCCCTGGTGAGTGCAGGGTGGGGTGGGGTGGGGGTGGTTACTACACACACATCTAGATCATTCTCCAAGCTACTGTGAAAAACCTACTGTGCAGATGACCATTTTGAGGATATTTTTAATTCTCCTGGGCCCCAGGGCTTGATGCCTTCGGTTGACCTAATCAGATTCACCAGATAAGAGGGGCTGGGGGCTGAGCCAGGAGGAGAGATGAGCCTGTAAGAGTGGCCAGAGGAGGGAAGAGGCCAGAGACAGGCAGACAGACAGACACGGACACACACAGACACACACACACACACGACAGTGGGTGCCACCACCCCGGCCAGTAAACCCAGGGCAGCAGGTCACAACCATGACGGGGCCTGAGGGGGTGCCAGGTGCTATGCTGGCCACTTTACACGTAGAATTTCACCTCTTCCATCTGTTTTCACCTCTTCCATCTGTTTTCACTCAAGCTCTATTGTCTCAAATGGAATGTATTGTTCTTGTTAAAAAGCGATCAGAAATGCAAAGTAAATATGAAAGCCCTGCAGACCTCCCTCCCAGGGTGAAGTTCACAGCTTCCCCAATTCCATCTGAGGCCCGCATTTCAGGGCTATCACCCATTTCCCTAAAGAAGGAATAATCTTCTCCTTGCTGGTGCACGTCCTGCTTTTCTCATTAAGTGACATACTGCGAGCACCTTTCCACAGGGGGATAGGTTACTATCTATTTTTCTTAATGGCTGTGTACTTCTCCGTGGTGGGGAAGACGTTATCTGGTCAAATGTCTATTACTGGACTTTAGGTCACTTTCAGTCTTTGCACTATTACAAATGGTGACACAATGGACATTTTGAATTTTCAGTTGTTACCCAATTACCTCCCTAGGATAAACTTCCAGGAGTAAAACTGTGGGATCAAAAGGTATGCATTTGACATTTAGATAATCAGAAAACCTGACATTCCACAAACACTGCCCAGGTGCCCTGACTCTCCAAACCCCTATGGACATTCCGCTGGGCAGTAACCAGTTACTGTCATTTTAAATATATATCAGGCTATTTGGCTTTCTTTTCTTTTCCTTCTGTGTGCCCTTTGCCTACTTTTCTATTCTGAAATAATTCCCATTTTTCTTACAGATATGTGACAGCTATCTTTAAAAGATATATATATATATGTACAAAGGTTATTAATCTCTTGCCATATAGGCTGCAAACTACCTCTCCTGTTTTCCACTGATCTCGGACTTGTCATTTTCTTTTACACTTGGCAGTCCTGCTGGCTCCCTCCCCCGCACGCTCCGTGAACACTGCGCCCTCACAGCTTCGCTCCATCCCACCCCCACACACACCCACACCCCCATCAGCTCCAGGCCACCGCTGTATCCTAGACTAGGATGTAGGAGTCGGGAGGACAGGGGCTGTGTTCTCATCACTCCTGGATCCCCAAGAGCGTCCCAAGTGGAAAGTGTCTGCTGAATGTATGGATCACAACCCCCTCCTTACTGGTCCCTAGCACCTCCACCATATCCTCTCTCAGCGTGGCAGCCAGACTGACCTTTTAAGGATATAAATCAAAGCACGCTCCCCAGTACACGTGGAGGCTGGAACTGAACCCCTTTTTTAAGGCCCGCCCCCTTCTCCCAGCGTCTCGTGCCCCCGGGCTGGTTCCTGGTCTTCCAGGGCTCGGCACGCCGGGTCGGGTCACCTGGGCCTCGGCGCTGCGGCGCTCCTCCCACTCGCGGCAGCTGTCCAGGTCGCGCCGCCACTGCTCGCAGGCCGGCCGCTCGCCGTGGACGTAATAGTGGCGCAGGAAGTGGCCGGCGCTGCTGCAGAGCTCCCACTCGGCGCGGTAGGCCTCGCACGGGCGCGGCGGCTGCGGGGACGGGGGAGTGAGCTGGGGACCCGGTGAGCGCCAGCCCGTCCCGCACGGACGGACCCGATCTCCGTCCTCCCGACCTGGCCCCGCGGGTCCCCGGGTCCCACCGCACTTACCTGCCAGCCTCCACCTTCCGCCATGTCCCGGGACTGCCTAACCCGCCTCCTGAGCCCGCGGACCGCCGCGTGACTGATGGGCGGACGGACTAATGAGCCCCGAGATCTCACCACTAACTCCTCGCCCCGCTCCTTGAGACGCGCCACTGAACAGGACGTCCGGGTTGGCAGCCAATAACAGTCGAGGGAGGGCGGGGCCTGGAGGCCTGTGTGGGCGGGGCCTGGAGGCTGCGGCGGAGCCGAGGCCGGTGTGGGCCGGGCATGCCCCCAGGGTCACCAGGCCCGGCTAGCCGTGTGGCGGAGGTAACTTGGGCGTCCCCTCGAGCCGGCGGGCGCCCGGCTGCACATTCACGTCCAGTGGCCGTTTCTGACGGAACCACTCGGCTCGGGCAGGTTCTTTCCAGCAGCTTTATTTTCATAATCTCAAAGATCGGTTCATTTCGTCAGCACGCACCGGAATCAGTGTCGCCACTCCAGTCCTACGGCTGCATTTGTCGCGCCTGTGTCCCCTCGAGGGCGGGGTGACTCCCAGGTAGGAAGCGGGGGCCCACGGGCGCGGGCACAGCGCAGGCTGGCCAGAGGCGCGGAGGCTGTATGGCCTGGGGGACAGCAGGACCCAAGGGTGGGCGTCCGGAGGTCGCGTTAGGGTCGAGGCTGTACTAAGGCAGGGAGACAACGTTTCTCCATGGGGCGATGCGCACGAGGCAATGACAGCGAAGGGGAGGAGGCTGGTGGGCCCGCAGGACCGCCCTGCGACACCCCTGCAGTGGTTCTCCAACTGCCGCTAGCCTAGCCACTGGCCCTGGGGCCCCTGCAAGGCGGGTGCTGGGCCCCCTAGGAGTGAGTCCGGGTCAAGCCAGACAGCTGCAATTTCACTAGGAGTCCTGCCACGCTGGGTCACAGACCAAGCTTGGAGAAGATGCTGCCTGAGAGGAAGGATGCAGGCCAGGGTACAGGCCTACAAGTGGCACCCCACCGTGTCACCAGAAGACCCACCAGCAGGGTCCACCCCTGGCCCAAGCAGGGAGTGCTTTCCTTGTATACACTGTGGGTGTGGCTCAGGGAAGACAGAAACCAAGGACCAGCACACTACGTAACATTCATCATGTAATTGAATGTGGTAGCCAATGTGATCCGCAAACAAGGCTGCCCACCCACCAAGGAGGGTGTCTACTTCTGTCAGCGACTAAGACTCCTGAAGTGGAGGGCCAGGTAGGTTACAGAGTGCCCATGCCTTCCAGAACCACTTCCATTGCCATGGGTGTGGGTTTGGGCCACAGGGCCCAGCCCTGGTCATCATGATGACCTTTGGTGCTCATTCTCTGAGGACATGCGGGTGAACCCTGGGCTGGTGTCTTGCAGGGGATCATCTCCTGAGTGTTGAGGGGAGCCATGTCCAGAGATGGACCCCTTGGCCTACAACAGGAACAAGGGGAGCCCCTGCTGGGCCCGACCACCCCCACCCCAGGGGTCAGAGAGCCTCGTTTCTCCCTACGCTCCCCAGAAGCCCCCAGAGGAGCGCTTTCCTAAGGGCAGGGTGGAACGAGGGGCCCCTGCCAGCAGGCCTTCCTCCTGCCCAACTGTCAATCCATGTTGGAACCTGATCAAACACTTAGAGGCAATTCAGGTTTTAGTCACTGCCTGTTTTTATTTGAAATTCTTGATTTAGAATTGTTTTCAAAGAGAGGAAAATAATTGAATTAACATGTCGAAAGAGCTCATATTATAGAAATTGAAGACCTGAAACTAAATTAATACTAGTAAAAAAAATAAAGACAGGCCAGCAGAACTTTGGAAAATTTAATACATTAAAACTGGGAGTGGGGGGTAGGAAAGGAGAAAGAACGTATCTTTAGCTTTCATTTATTCTAATAGTCACATTTGTGCTTCACCACAAAGTTGTTTTACAGTAGAACAGATTCATTAAGGAGCCAGTTATTTCCAAATGAAATCAAAGTTAGAAATGCTTTCAGGTCGAGTTTTCCTTCTGAGGAATGGTTTCTTGGGGGGAAAAAAATCAATATGTAAAATAAAAATGGAAACACCCTTCCTCAAATACTTAAATTCCAGCCAGAGTAATGGGATGACCACTATTTATAGAGCACTTATCTGTTTAAACCACTTTTTTCCAGGTCAAAGGCAACAGCTAAGCTATGACCTGGAGAAAGAAAAGATAAATGAAAAAAAGAGAAAGACCACCACAACTTAGAGCAATTCAATCCCTTCACTGGTTTTTAGCAGGAATCAGGGAACTCTGCTCCAGCTGAGGCTGTGGGCATGCCCCGAGGGCTGAAAGCAAGGAGCGTGAGTAAGGGATCTCAGAGACGGCCTCCTCTTTCCCCAAATCACGTACACAAACTGCTGTCCTGCTGTCCACTTGCAGGTGAAACCTGGTAATTCTTAGGTAACTCTAAACAGACCTAAAGTGACAGAGTGTCCCTGTCAGAGCCAGTAACTAAAAGCCAGCATGTTGCAATTATTTTATTTTCCAATCAGCCAACGGTCCCAACCTATGGCTTTCTTCCCTTTTTACGCAGAGACTGTCCTTCTCCAGAGAAAGCGACGAATCTGCCTCCAGCTTCATCCTGAGTGTGAAGAGAAAATACCATTTTCAGAAACTCCTTGGAAGTTTAATAAGAAATGCTTTATTCTGTTGACTCATGTACCATCTGCCCATTTTCCTTACTCCCACATTCATAATAAGAAATGTCTTTGAAATAGAAATGCAAGTTATAATCTACTGAATTGAAAACAAAACCATGGAATCACAACTCTGTCTACCATAGCCTTTTTTCTCAGGTTGAGTATATATCCTTTTGCAAAGGTATTACATTTTCAATGTAAAAAATACAAAATACACCTCCTAAAAGAAAAACCACGCCAAAGAACATTTCCAGTCACTGTTCTGTATATGCTTACATAAACTATTTTCCTACTTAATTCCCCAATCTCAAGGCAGTGCGCTGCTCTCGTTCCCTCTAATTCCATTCCGTGGACAGGCAGTTCTGCCATCAGCTGTTACTTCCAAGTCTGCAGTATTCAAGCTGCCCTGGCAGGCAGCTGAATGTCTCTACACACAACTTTGATTTTCCCTAGAGGTTGAACTCCTCGTTAGAAGGCTGCTCTTATTTTTGAGGCTTTTTAAAATGGTGACTTAGCAGCTCTCACTCTACCAAACTATCCTCCCACCAGCAGAAAGACGGCTTGTTTTTTCTGAACCCTCGAAAACAGCAGGCATCTTTCCACGAGCTTTGCTGCTAGTCAGGGGAAGCGTTGTCTGTGGAAGAGGATCCCGAGCTCCCCAGCACACCCTCCCCCCGCACCCGGCCCACGCCTAATGCAGCTGGTGTTTCCAGTGGGGCCCATACAAGGTTCACATGGTGGTGACCACGCAAAGGTGAGTCGTGGCTGAGCCAGGCAGCCTTCCCTTCCTTCAGCGCCCTCCGTCTGTCCTGTCAACACCGGAGCCTGCTTTTTCTCTTGTGAACACTTCACCCGCTTGAGGAAGGTGTGTCTTCTGGGAACTTTGGTCTGTCACACCTGGATGGGCTGCTGCCCCAGGGCTGCACATTGCTGTGGGGATGCCTTGCTTCCTGGGTCTAAGGCTTTCTGACTTCTTTTTTTTTTTTTGGATTTTCTGACTTCTTATTCCTTCTATTCAGTGGGTATGTCTTCAGTAGCTTCCTGAGAAAGGGTGCGTGAAGAGATCTTCAGGGACTGAGAATACCTACCTCTCCTCTAATACGGCTCACTGACAGGGTGGTTGGTGTTAGATTGCTGGGACCACCGGACCAAATCACCACAAGCTGGGGGCCTGGGGAGACATTCACCTCCTCACAGCCTGGAGGCTCGGAGCCAGAGATCCAGGTGCCGGCAGTGTGGTCTCTCCTGAGGCCCCTCTCCGGGGCCTGCAGGGGCTGCCTTCTCGCTGTGTCCTCAGGCCTTTCCTCTGTGTCCACATCTCCTCAGAGGGGAACGTGGCCCATCTTAGTGCCCTCCTTTTAACACACTTCTGTAAAGGCCTTATCTCCAAATACAATCACATTTTGAGGTACTGGGGTTAGGGCTTCAACACAGGAATTTGGGGGACACAATTCAGCTCATATAATTGGGCAAAGAATTCTGAGGACCCTGCTCCACTATGTCCTGGCTTGTGTCTGGCTAAGATGGTGCCATTTGTGACCCGTGGTAGAATCTCCACCTCCTGGAGACTTTAGCGTCTTTCCTTTGCCCCAATTTGGAGTTGTTTCCATCCACTGCGCTGGATGCTCAGTGGCCCCTTCTGACCTGCCAACGGGGCGTGGGCCCCTCTGTTTGGAGCAATTATTTCCCTGGTGGTTCTTGCCCCTCTGGTGTCTCTGATCTCCCATGACTGGGGTGTTGGTACTGGAAACCTGCCTCTGGCCTTCACTCTGGGGTGAGCAGGCTGGGGCCTTGCCTGGGCTCGACTGGCCAGAGAAAGCTCCTCCAGCTGCAGCCAGCCCACCCGCTGCCAGTGTGTGGGAGCCAAGTAGGGAGGGGACGCCAAGCGTGGCGGACTGTTACCGCCGTGCTGAGGGCTGTCTGGGGACTCTGTGATGCCATCCCTTCTCCTGGGGGTGAGGCCAAGTGCTCTGGGACAGATGCTCAACCTTCACCCCAGGTCCTGCCCCCTGGCTGCCCCACAGCCAGCTTGGGACGGGACATGGCTTTCCATGGTCTATCAAGTCAGGTGCCCTTGGCCTCCTGCTCCGGGGCTCCCAGAACTCTGCCTCATTGTCACCGTCACCTTGTCACCTGTGCCCCAGTACAGGCAGCGTGAGCGCACCTGAAGGCCCACCTCAGTCACACATCTCTCCCTGGACATCTATTCACGGACACCCCAGCCTCCCCATCCCTGCAACAATCAAGGACGAGGGGGCCCAAGGACACAGGCCTGAGCCAGCAGACAGGCTGGGGGGCAAGCAAAGGCCTGGTGGGGACCACGTCAGCTCCTGAGACTGGAAAGGTGCCAACACAGTGTCAACTTGAGGAACGTTAAAGCCAAGAGGGGCTGTGAGTCTCTGAACCACCCCCTCTTGGTCCCTGAGGGACCGAGCATCGAGAAAAGCAACCAGGAGAGCGAGGATTTTAGGTGGGGTGTTCTAGAACCACCAACAGAGTTACAGCTGCCAGCGTGGGCGGTCTAATGGCAGGCTGTGCCAGGTCTTTCGAGCAAGTTTCCAGCACCTGGGAGAAGTGCCCACAAGACGGAAGCTCCCCTCCCTGCCCCCCAGGCCGCAGAAGGCCGTTTCTGGAGTGCGGAGGCACTGAGATGGCCGTGCAGTGGCCAGGAGCTCTGCCCCTGACCTTCATGCACTCTCAGGCTCACTCCTGGGAAATGCAAACAATCACAGCAGCTGCCCCAGGAGACTGTCCTGGGGATTAAATATTTCAGTATATAGCACATGGCCTGGGGCCTGACACCCAGCAAGGGCTCAGGGAGCTGAAACCTTGCTGGTCACTGCCGCAAGGGGACACCAGAGCCCTCACAGTCTCGACAGTTGGACCACTGGGGAGAGGAGGGGCCCCAGAACAGAGAAAAATATAACAGAAACACCCTCATTCAGAATGGAAAGACTCTCCTCAGTCACCAGTAGCCAATGAAACTTGTCATGACCCATGAAACATACTCACCTCTTCAACCTTTTTGACCAGTGGACGTGAATTTCTGATGAACGTGATCTTACCAAGTTTAAATTCATAGTTGGGAATTCCTCTATAAAGAAGACAGAGCAGAAGAAACGTTAGTGTGAGGAGAAGAGACTAAAATCCATTTGTGACCATCTGGTCCATGGCTGTACCCACCACCCCCCAGCCTCAGGCCAGCCCACGGGTGGCCCCTAGCACCCCCCCAGGAGGGAACGGAAGGCAGCTGGGGCAGGGTCTGCAGGCTCAGGGCCTCACCATCTGTGTCCTTCAGCCTCACATGCCCCCCTGCAAGGGCTACACATGCACTGAACTCACTTCACTCCCTAAGAGGCTGCGTGCAAACCCGTTTCTGGCATTCTCCGTGTGCTCTCACATGGTCAACAGGGGACAGATCTCATCATCCCTGCCACACCCATGCAGGCCACCAGAGGAGGGACTCTGCTGAGAGTCCCTGGACCAAACAATACAAATACAACTAAGTGAGGCAGCTCCTGCCTCCTCCTGAGGGAAGTGGATCAGTTATTTGAAGTCACAAAGGAGGAAAATGGGCATATTACTAAGTCGGAACCAGAAAGGTCAGAAGTAGGAGAGAGATCCAATCAGGGGCCGGTGGGGCTGGACTGTGGGGGTCTTGGGGAGAAGGCTGGCAATGATGGGGGGGCACCGAAGCACTTCTGCCACGCTGTGTTCCAGCCCACCGAGGAGGGCGGCGGGGCACCCACACCCCCACAGAGCTGAGTGAGGCTGCCCCAGTGTGGGGCCTGGGTCGGGTGGAGCAGAGCCAGGGCAGACCCACCTCTTGATGTCTCCGGGCTTGATTGGGGAGGGGCTGGGCTCTACACCCTTCTTCTTCCCGTCCAGTCTATTCCCGGAGCCGGAGAAGGCCTAGACAAGCAGGCAGGGGGGCCATGAGCTAAGCCCCAAGGGTAGGAGAGAACCACCTCGGGACTGCAGCACCCACGCCCTCTGGGGGTTGCCGGGAGCTGAGGGGAGCTTCCTGGCCCAAGGACGGTGCCTCCACCTGCCTCAACCCCCGGACGCCAGCTGCCAAGGAGGGGTGACAGGTCCAGCTGGGCCCACGGCTCAGCTCTGCAGACCTGCCTCCCGGCAGTAGGTTGAGCCATGCCCACCGGCCCCTCTCCGTTTCCAGGAAGGACAGCAGTGCCGGAGCGTCAACATGCAACTGACTTTCCAACAGTGCAGGACACGGCTTAGAGAGAAAGCAAGAGTGATCACATCTGGTGAATCTACGTGAAGAGTATACGTGTCTGTTGTACTAGTTCAGCTCTCCGGTAGGCTATAAATTTTTAAAAGAAGTTGGGGCTGCCTGGCAGTTGTTGGGAGGATCCAGGAGAAAGTGGATGGAAAAGGGTTTGGAAACTGAGAAGGCGCTGGGTACACGTGTGCGGGGTCCCCCAGGCCTGCTCCCAGCTGAGGTTCCCAGGGTGTCACAAACATGGCAGGAGGACAGACAGTTGCATGGCGGCACTCACGCGGAAGCCCAGCTCCCCAGCATAGCTGCTGTGGTCAGCTTCGCCTTCCTGGAAGGGACAGAGAAATGGGGATGAGCTTCTCAGTGGGGCCCCCAGCTCTTCCCTTGGGCTCCCTCACTGCTCCTGCTGTGCCCGCACCCCAACAGCTGGTACACACTGGGCCCCGGGAGCGGGGCTGGGAGGGAAGCAGAACGTGGCTGCCTCGGTACCAGTGGAGGCCAAACACCGCCGGGAGGCCAAGACACTGGGATGCGCTCCAAAGACCAATACTGGCGGTGGGGAGCTATGCAGAGCTCGGGAGGGACGCGGAGGAGCGACTTACGGCTGCCTCCTCATGCTGGGCTTGTCTCTCCGGCTCCTTGTAGCCCAGTGGAGCATCGAAGTCCACCTGTGTCCCCAAGAAGAAAGCATGATGAGACAGGGCCACACTCAGCCTCCGTGGCTTTTCTGTTCTAAGTTGGGACAACTGTGGGTCCACGTGCAGTTGTTGGAGCCGATACAGAAGGGGTCTTGTACAGTCCGCCCATTTCCCCAATGGTCACGTTTTACAAAATCACAGCAGAACATCGGCAGACAACCCAGCCCTCGTCCAGACATCCCCAGTTTACACGCACACGCGGGTTTGTGTTTTGTTCTCACAATTTGTCATCACTGCAGGTCAGTGCACCCCCTCCCCCCAACCCCCGGGTCAAGATCCTGAGCAGTTCAATTACCACAGGGACCCCTCCTGCTGCCCTTTCATAACCACACCCTCTCCCTCCAGGCAACCTCACTGCCCTGGACCCCGGCAACCACTCCTCTAAACAGACCCAGATGGAACGGAACCCTTCTGCTGGGCATCCTTCCCTGAAGACCCAGCACGCTGGGCTGTTGTGCCCACTACTCGGAGCTGAGCAACCTTCCTCAGCCTCCGAGAAGACTCAGCCCCTCGCAGGGCTGAGATGCTGATGGATCTAGCCATCTCAGAACCAGCAGCAACCCTGCCACCAATCACAAGGTCAGCGGCCTCCTCACAATGTTCCGGCACCATCTTCCTCCCCGTTCCCCCAAAGAATCCCAGGGGTTGCATGACACCTGCCTAGGGCCCCCAGCCGCCCTTCCTCCCGCGGCCACTCACGTTCATGTCACACTCGATGATGGACACAGCCCTGTCAGGCTTAGTCTCCATCACCCGCAGCTCATAGATCTGGGGAGAGAGAAATCAGTCAGTTTTGTGGCAGCACTGGGCCCATCCATCACATGTGTCGCTGCAGCCCCCTACCCGGCTCCTGCACACACACGTCATTCACCTCCACGACACCCTCCCCAGCCACACCTCTTGCTGTGGAAAAGCAGCTGTGGGTGGCTGCCTTGATGCCTGTCACTTAGCTGACCACCTCTCATAAGCGATTCAAATCAGACAAGGCAGTTATGCAGCAAATTGCAAAAGATTCAGTGTTTACCCCAGGAAAGTTCACTTCTAAGAATTAACCCTAAGTAAATAACTAGCTAAATACTGAAAGAGAAAGTGCTCTAAGAACGCCTGCTCCAGCACTGCTCATGGCAGCGTAGGCTGAAGACGCCCATCACTAGAATGGTTACATGAGTGGGGTGTATTCACGTGGGATCCCAGGCAGCCAGCATTCAGGAAAAGATGCTGAAAACCAGTTATGCTGCTGTGTGTCGAGGATGATCTCATGCATGTAAAACACACACAAAGTCAAAAGGACAGGAACTAAAGGTGGCAGAATGGACTTTTTCCTGCATTGTTTTAGGTTCTTTCTCTCTACCTAGAGTATGTCTTGCTTTTATAATGAATGGTTGGGACAGTCCCACCATTGAAAAAACTGAATATGAGGGAGATGGTCCCCCAAGTACAGTGAGAAGGCTTGATGTCCCCCGTCTGGCTTTACGTTTACTCACTAGTGACTAATAGAAATGAATGTGTGTCGCTGTGTGGATGCCCCACCACCTCTCCACACAACACGGGCTGCGTCCAGTGGTTCTGCTGCCACGGACAAGGCGGCATGAATATCCGTGTCTGTGGCTCCTGGGCATGTGGTCACCTTTACCAGTCAGCGTATTTTCAAACTGCAGGCCGCAGCTAACTAGTGAGTCATAAAACCAACTACGCTGCAACCAGAACTAGAAAAGAAAAATACTGGAACACAGTACAGTAGAAATACTAGGCTATGTTGCACGCAGTTAAGGCTAAGGATTTTTGTGATATTTATGGTATACTAGGTGCTGTCATGCTGTATCTAAAACAGTAATCTTAAGCTTTTACACATTCAACATGTATTTTTACTGATTTACCTTTACTGAAGTGTAGAGAACACCTGAATTCTAAATAATCCTCAAGACTTATTCTTTTCCAGTGTTTCAGGTGCCATCTTTTAAACTGCATTTATTAAACACTGTTATGGATTTAAATGGCAATGTTTACCACAATTTACCTCACATTTGCTGGTTTACTGGTTCTTCCCACACCTTACTCTTTCCTTCTAGGCTAATGCTTATTCCTAAAGCACATGCTTGTGAAGTTTCACTGGTAAATAAATTCTCTCAGATTTTATCTGAATACATTTTGATTTTACCCTATTCTTTAAAGAAGGTTTGACGACAGTTACTTTCTTGCAGCCTCTGGAGCTCCTCGGCCGCGGGGGGAGGCAATGTTTGCTATTGACAGGCCTGCCATGTGCTGTTCTTCTCTAAGTGCTGGATCTTCTCTGCTCATCTCTTCATGTCTGGTGCTTGGCACCTGTAACTACCCGGCCTGGTGGACACTAAACTCCCTGTAAGCGTGGGCTGTAGGCCAATTCTGGAACAACTCCACTCATCTCCTCACAGTAGTTCTGCCCTCCGTTCTCTCCCACTGGGGTTTTCACTGGGCACGTTTGGTTTTCTCAGGATCTCCCAAACCTCAGCTGCTCACGTTGCTGCCGTGCTTCTCTGTGCAGACACCTAAGTCACTCCTGCAGATTCAACTTCCCCTTCGCTAATCCTTTGTTGGCTGTTGTTTAACCCTCTGACTGCTTTTCAAATAATCCTGGATATTTTGGATAGACTTTTGCTGCTTGCTAAATTTTATGATTCCATTAAAAAATTTTTTTGAACATTTTTTACACAGTTATTTTATCTTTGCACCTGAAGGTCCCAATTGTGATTTCTTAAAGGCCTAAATCTGCTTTTGCTGTCTTTGCTTTGGGTGTCTGGTGGTCTTATAAGGAGTTCCTGTTTGCTGGTTCAATCTATAGCAACCCTGAGGGCTCAACAAAACTGGGGGTGCTGTTTTCAGAAAGCCTGGGATGAGGACAGCACCCACCTCTGCATCTATTTTGGCCCCTTTAAGGGCCCCAGTTTCATGTGGATGCCTTGATCCAGACCTTCCACCATGCACTGATGTGGTCATTTGCCCTCAGCACACGCCTGCTGAGTCTTCTCAGAAGGGCCCTTCAGAGCGTCTAGTCTTCCGTACTTCCAAAAGCAGAAGCCCAGACGTGCATTTCAATTCTATGTATACCTGAGTAACTCACCTTCCCTTTCAGTGCAAAAAGGTCAACGATATCTTTCATCATCAATTTTTGTTTCAGCATTTTTTACTGCCTTAATATTTTAAGAACAATGACATTAAGGCTGCCTGTAATTAATCAAGGAAACTTGGGATTCCCTGGTGGCACAGAGGTTAAGAATCTGCCTGTCAATGCAGGGGACACGAGTTTGAGCCCTGGTCCAGGAAGATCCCACATGCCGCGGAGCAACTAAGCCCATGCTCTGCAACAAGAGAAGCCACCACAATGAGCAGCAAGCACACCGCAACAAAGAGTAGCCCCTGCTCGCCGCAACTAGAGAAAGCCCGCGCCCAGCAATGAAGACCCAATGAAGCCAAAAAAAAATAAATAAATAAAGAAAAGTTTACGTATTCAGCTAAGTTAGACGATACCTAAAACGTCCCCACGAAGGTAAAGGGAACAAGATTATTAGTTTACCAAAAAATATAAAAGTGTGTTTCAAAATCCACAAAATTGAACAGTAGGATTCTTAGTATCGGATGCTTCAAACAGAAGGAAACTGTCAGAGAACACGATGGATCCCTACATGACACCGGGGAGTAACTGGCGTCTGATCCTGTGTGTGAGAGAGAGAGCGCATAGGCTCCTGTTCACAGCTGTGAGGGCCCCGGCATCTGAAAGGCTGAGACACTCACCTTCTCATTGTAGTTGATGGCAATCACATCCCCGGTGGTCAGACACGCAAAGTTTCTCAATGCGTTTTCTAACCTGCAGACACACACTGTCAAGGTAACATAGCAAAATGGAGCCCTCAAATCTGAAACAAGTTTCCACAAGGCATTTAGAGGACTGGGTCACACTGTGTAACGGACAAACATGTGCCCAGCTGGGGCTCAAAGACACGTGGCCATTACTCAGCAATGAGAAGGTAGCAGCTCTAACACACGGTAATGGGGTGAACCTCACTCTGGGGAAGAACCAGCCACAGAGCAGTGAGACCCCCGCCAAACCCCGAGAAAGGCAGATTTCTGAGGTGGGAGGCAGCCGAGGCTGTTGGGGCTGAGGGTTGGCTGAGGATGGGCATAAAGGGGCACAAAGGCCCTTCTGGGAGGACGGCCAAGCTCTGAATACACAGGGGATGCATCTGTCAAACTCGCTCAAGTGTACGTTTTACTGCATGTAAATTACACCTCAACAAGTTGATTTTAAAAATCCTATGGGAGCACAGGGGGGAAAAAAAATTGAAAAACAGATAAGTCCCCTCAAAAGTCCCCCAAAGCAAAGATGTTTTCATTTACACTTTTGTTGTTTCTATCTTCTGGGTGATAACCCATATTTAGTGGTATGTTTCAAATAAAAATATTTAATAATAAAAATTTTAAACAAAAAGTAGCCTGTAAGCCCTTTTTATGATAGTAAATAATAATAAGTTCTTAAAAACTGAGTAACCCAAATGCCCAGACAAGGGAATAATGCCCAATCAAATGGATTATTTTAATCATGTCATCCTCGTCAATTTACAGAATTGTTTTAAATACAAAGGTCAAACACAAAACATGGCTCCAGATGTGCCACTGAGACGCAGCACACCTGGGTGAGAAGCTGAGGGCAGAGGAGCCCGTGTCTACATTCACTTCTCTTTGTCAAAGGGCCTCCCAGGCTGCTGGCAGCTTCGTGAAGAGTCTGGGGTACACGCCCTCTTTGCCCCCCTGTGTGCAATGCCAGCTGCAGGGGTGCCCTTCCCTCGACTCCTCCTGGTGACCCTGAGCTGCTGGACGTGGCCCCCAGGGCCCGAGGGCGGAGCCAGCTCTGCACTGCCTGGACTCAGACCCTGAGCAGAGCCTGGCGCACCGCGTCCCATGGAAGGGGCACCCTTTCTCTGCAGTCACGAGTAACTGTGCCAAGAGACACTGTCTCTGAAAGCAACCTGGTATGTGTGTGCTCCAGCACAAGCAAAAGGACTCCATACCGGAGAACATACAAGGGGCTGCAGTGCAGAGGCCGGCAGGCCCCAGTCCCGGGCATGGGCACCGTCCACACCTGCTGTGAGCAGAGCGCCCAGTACCCTGTATGCCCAACACAGGGGGCTCGACATGCCCGTCCACAGACACGGCCAGCGGAGGCCTCCACACAGTCAAGTGGCATCTGGGACATGGCCAGCAGCAGCAGCGTGCTCCTGGCTCTGGCTGGGGACAGGGTGCAGGTGGAGAGGGTGGAAGTAGCTTTTTTTTATTAAAAACAATCTGTGTTGTTCAACTGAGTTTTTTACAAGCATGCCTTTTTAACAATAAATAGGTGGAGTGACCACACACACGGCTGGCTTACATTCAGAGAACACACAAAAAAATCACTAAGATCTGATGCCTTTGCTTTCCTCTGCTGAGAGACAGAAAACGTACTAAGACAGGGCTCCCCATGCCTGAGCACAGGGGAGCTGAGAGGCAGACGAGCTGCCCTCCGACCAGAACACACTGGGCTTTTTGCCAGCGTCATCGGCCACCCAGAGAAGGGCTCCACCTGCCCTCCGGGAAGCATCCAGAGAGAGCTCAGCATGCTCATGAGGCCCCTGAGCCATGTAGACGGGCTGGCCCCACGCCATTGTTCTCATGTCACAATGTCAATCACGACAAGTGTGTGGTCCCCAAAGCAGGCACAGACCCAACCAAGGGCTCACTGTCACCCGCCACCAGCTGGCACAGCCCTCCCCAGCTCAGAGGAACACGTTCCACTTCAGAAGGATACACAGCCTTGGGGTTGGTGATGTCCAGGAAGTCGGGGCTCTGGGGCTGGAACTTGGAGTACGTGGCTACCTGCAGGTTGACGCTCTCTACCTGAACCAGGCCCCCCTCCTCCAGCAGCAGGTTCTGCATCATCTGGAAGGGGAAGAAGACAGGAGGCAGTAGGGGTGCGGCCGGGGCCACCACAGTGGGAACGCCTGAAGAAACCACTTGCTGGAAGGGTGCCAGGTGCGGGCTCATCCACCAGCTTTAGGCCTCCCAGGGCCGGAGCATTTCCACAGGGACACCTCCCCCCACCCCCACTCCCGCAACTTCACCTGACTCCCAAGGCCCCAGGGCCAGCTGGGCTACACTGGAGGCAGGAGGATGACAGCCCCAGGCAGGCTGGCCTTGCCAGGGACAGCCCACAGCCTAGGCCTTGGGTGTCTGCTCCAGCCTAGGCCTTGAGCATCTGTGGAGCCACCCTACCAGGTAGAGGTCGGATGAGAAATGAGACAGAGAGACAAACATGGGCCCGAGGTCCTGGGGCACAGGGAGCCAGGACCTAGCAAGGACCTGAAGCTCGGGATCCGAGAAATGAGCACCCCTGCGCATCCTGGAATGTTTTTTTGCTTTTCTTATTTCAAACCTTCTTAAAAAAAGCTTCAAACGTACACAGCTAGCAAGGGCCACGTGGGGAGCTCCACGCACCCACCCAGGTTCCACGGCTTTCAGGTCATAGCTGACCTCGTCCATCCACCAACGCCTGCTCCCTGCCCATCCACCAGGGCTGCCTGGAGTTCTGGGTGGGATGGAGCCTGCCACTCAGCTGACAGAAAGAAAGCACCTGCTCAAACACTCACTGGGGTCGGGAGACCCTCGAGCCGGCTCTGCAGCAGCAGCTGGGAAATCCCAGGCACCACCTGCTCCTGGCAAGAGCTGCAAGGCCAGCCCAGGAAGAGGATGGCAGGCAGCTCCATGCTACCTACAGAGGCTTCCCCGGGGATGGGATGTTTCCAGGCAAAAGGATCCAATTAGCTTTCTGGCCCAAAGTGGTCTGAGAGCCTGGACACGGGTCCAGCCAAACTCCAAATCTGCAGGTTGGAGGAAAAGCCTTACAGGAACAGTGTCCCCCAGTGTCCCCCCTTCTCTTTCACTAAGGACGGGCCACAGAGGGGCCTGGGGAAGCTTACACTGCCCAACACTTCAGCCACCCATGGCGCTCCACAGAGAGTGGGACAAGGCCTGGTGCCTGTGACGCGAGGTGCGGGCACGTGAGCAGGGAACCGGGTTGGGTCTGGGCTTTGAGGAGTGACTAAGAGTTCCCCTGTGGTCAAGGAAGCAGCACAGGACACCAGCTGGGCTTAGCACTCAGGAAGGACCCAGGCTCAGGAGGGACAATGGCCCAGGGGAAATGGGCAAGGGCAAGGTCACCACTGCAGGAGAGGAGGAACCTTCAAACTTCTATTCATATTTAATCTCAAAATATGAGTTAAGGCCACTCCTTTAGAAGGTTAGCCATTGCTGCGGCGGGGACCCTTGGCTGTGCAGGAGAGATGGGACGCTCTTCAGAGCATCTCCCTAGCGGCAGGGAGGCTTTGGGGTGCGTTCCCAACTCTGCCCGCAGACTGAGGGGTCTCTGAGCACCCCGACATAAATGAGTATGAAGAGAAGGACACAAAGTCCCCTCTGTGGGTTTCCCAATGCTGAGCGTGCCAGAGCTGGGAGAGTGGGGGCTGGGCTGAGGGGGGAGGGAAGGAAAGAGCCAAGCCAGCCTTTGCCTGGAGACCCTCCTCCCTACACCTTCTAGAACACTGGGTTTCCGCATAAGACCTTCTAAAGACAAGGGCCCTCAGGCACCTTCGAAGTACTTACAACACTGACTGTGGCCAGCTGTCACAGAAGACAGTGCTTAAGGTCAAAGGGACACGTCCAGGCCCAGGATGGAGCAGGGCAGCCGTGGGGCTCTCACACTGGGGGTGGTGGGGCCTGGGCCCCCCCAGCCCCGCCCCTGCAGACTTCCGGCTGCTGCAGGCCCCACCCTACAGTGCAGGCGCGCCTGCCTCTGGACATGGATGGCATCGGACTAGCCTAAGTGCAGAGAGCCTTCATTCCCATGGCAATGAGGCTGAGTGCTTTAGACAGACTCAGGTACAGACAAGTGTCTACACACACACACACACACACACACAGTAACAGAACTGGGCAGACAAACTACTAAAGAGGTGAGAAAACTTATAAAAATCTAAAACTCTGTACTCAAGACCACATGAAAAATACTCCTGCTCCATGGTTTTAAAAAAAGCCTGACACAGAAAATGGCAGTTAAAAACAGCATGGCTGTGGGTTCCAGGCCACCAGGTGAGCAGCCATCCCTAGCTCCGGGCACACCGTGTCCAAGCCGCATGTGATGTTTGCGGCGAGGCGCGTCCCTCTGCTGCGGGGGCAGGACTGTGCACAGGCGGAGGGTGTCCCTGCCACCCCACGTGGCAGCCAGGGGCCACTCACCCAGTGCGGGAGGTAGCAGATGCCCTCATCAGCCACAAACTCCAGCACGCCACAGTGCGTCATGCGGTCCGAGTTCTTGTTGGTCAGTTTGAACAGCATGGGGTAGGTGATGTTAAGTCGGCCTGAAAAGAAGAGCAAGGCATGAGGCTCGGCTTCTTCCAGGGAGAGAAACCCTGTCCCCAGACCCTCCCCGGGGAAGTGCCTCCCTCCCCAAGCAGGCACTGGGACCTACATGGTACTGAGCCCCTGGGTGTCTAACCACCCAGCAGACCCCGCACTCCTGCCAGACCTCAGGAACGTTCGCTGAGTCAGGAACGCAGCACCAGCTTATACTTTTGAATGTCGGAAATCCCACTTTTAAAAAGTGACGTGTTCGTTTATTCACGAACAGTTTAAGTGCCAACCAGGTGCTGAGCAAAATCCCTCCTTCAGAGGTTTCCAGTTAGAAGACCAGAGCATGCCCAGATGCTCGTGCCGGGGAAGGGTGGGGCCGGAGGCAGCGCAGCCAGGATAGATGCTGGGGGATGTCCTCCAGGGGAGGAAGTCCAGGCAGAGAAAGCAGCCCAAGCAAAGGCATAGAGGGAGGGGAGCCAGGCTGGTTCAGGAACTGCTGGCAAACAGGCGAGACTGGGCACAGGGACCGGGTGTGCAAGCAGTTGGGGGGGAGCAGGAGGGCAGGACCGGTCAGCAGTGTGGGCTTGCAGCAGGGACCCAGTGTGTCCCCTCCTGCCAGGGGTCCTGAGGTGGGGGCCATGTGTGGGCTTGGAGGCCTGCTGACTCAGGAGTGCAGGGGGCGCAGAAAGGAGGGGCTGGCGCTGCAAGGCAGGAGGACCCAGGAGAGTCAGTAACCTGGGGGAGCGGTCCGGGACAGACCGACAGGACCGTGTTGCCTTGTGCCAGGCCCTTGCTCAGCCTTCACGGGACAGTGAGGTGGGTACTGTCCTCGCCCCTTTATCTATGGGGGACTAAGGCACACAGGTCTGGCAACGTGCCCTAGGGTCACACAGCCCAGGAATGGCCATGCTGGGGGTCAACCTAGGCCGCTGGCCCAGGTCTGGGGCTTGACCACTGAGACCAACTTTAGCCTGTAGATTTAGGCAAACGTGGCAACAAAAGTTGACTCAGTGGCAGGAGGTACGGTAGACTCCATTTGGGATCTCCCGAAAAATTTGGAGAAGCAAATTGGATAATGAGTCTGGGTGGGAGGCTATCCCCCCATCACCAAGGGTGACTGGGATACTGGCAGTGGTGGCCAAGGGCCTGGACGCCAGGCCCTCCGTCACCAGGGCACCTCCCGGCTGTGGAGCCGTGGAGTGGACTGAGGTGGGTCAGGGTGAATGGATTGATCAGGCTCCAACCAAGGGTCCGAGATTCTTGCCATTGGAAGAGACCCCCATGTTCCTCAGTCCAGTAGTTTTCAAACTGCATTTTTTTTATTTAGAGAAGTGCCTTGGGGAGTCCGAGTCTTCCACACACCCTCACCTCCTCCGCCCTGAGCAGCGACCCTTTTTACAAACCAGGACTCCCCGTGAGATCTCATCTGGACAGCTCCTTCCATGACTTACGAGGTCTGCACAGCACTGAACTAAGCCCCACTGTCCCAATCCCCCAGTCTCCTCTCATACCCACATGCCAACACACCTGGTCTTAGTCCTGGGTCAGCTCCACCCATGAGGCAGACTCTCAGGGCCCTGCTCCCCGCTCTGGGACGACAGAGGGGACGACAGGGGCCTGCCTGAGGGCTGTGCCCCCTGCTCTACCCACACTCTGGCAGAGCTAAAGGCCTCCCTCTGCGGGTGCAGCCACTGCTGCCGTCAGTTAGGCCCTGCTGGCTAAGGGCCACCTCCTGCCCCTGCCTGGTGCCACAGGGCCCTGGCTGTTTACACACACACCACAGGTACCATCCAGGAGGCACTCCTGCCGCAGAGCAGTCCCCACAGATGGCGTCATGCCCCCATTTAAAGGTGAGGACACCAAGGTCCAGAAAGGCCCAGTCACTAGCCTGGAGTCAGGCTGGGCAAGGTGCAGAGCCCAAGCTGGAGCCACACCAGAGCTGGCACCGGGCCCTTACCGAGCTGCCCAATGTGCACCCGACACAGAGCGTGGACCCTCCCGGCCCAGAAGCCACCACATCTCCTGCCTCAGAACCCACACCAAAAAGACCCCCAAGTCTCAAAAGGCAATGACTGTGCCCATGGTCTGGGCATCCTAGTCCGGGTGGAGTGGGGCCAGGGGTGTGAGGTCTCCGAGCTGCTCCCATGGGAGTGGGGAGTCGGGGAAAGGGGGAAAAACATGGCCAATCTCCCAACCCTGGGCCTTTCTTGCTCCTGGTAAGAGGCGTGACGGGGCAAGGGGAGCAGCTCCTGGGGAAGAGGGGTTAGAACTGCGGCTGGAGCTGAGGCAAGAGGCTTGGGGAAATGAAAGACCTGCGCGCGGCGTCCTCTTGGGGGCTGCCACCATCCTTTAGGGGAAAATTTAGTGTGTCCAGCCAAGGGCATCGGCTGCCCCATCAGCGTGAAGAGCACCAGTGCTCACACCTTCCTTTAGTCCTAATAGGACCCGGGGTGGGGTGGGGGTGCCAGGGGAGTGGACCCAGAGCCGAGCACCCACTGGCCCTGGCCTCCCAGCCCAGCTAGCACCCTCCAGGGACAATTCCCAACCAGCCTCGCCGAAAGATGCCTCTGCCTGGGCGGCGAGGGGTCTGTGCCTGGTCCCAGCGCCCACGTTCACATCACCTCCGTTCTCAAGTCAGGTAGAAAGTACTTACTGAGTTGGTCGAGGGCTGAGGGTGGCATAATTACTGTGGAAAGAACATTTAGGAGATATTAAGAAATGAAAAATTAAAACAATAGAACAAAAGCCAAAGTGCACTTCCTGTTATAGCTTAATGAAAGTATTAAACAATACCTGTGAGGCAGCTGGAATTTCATGATTGTTCACAACAAGTTTTACTAGCTATAATTTATTTGGTGAAACCAAATGGCTATCAGCCATAAATCTAATCATAATTAGGACCCCTCCCTGCACCCCTTAGCCAGGACACCTTGACGACATCTTGACGGTAACTAGCCTCCGTCACACATGCAAAATGAGAGCTGCCAAGGACTATGAGCACTGCAGGCCTAGGGCAGGAAAGGTTACGATTCAAAATAAAAACAGCACATACTCTTCCCTCCTTTCTCCACATCTGACCTGTCATTAGGCCCCGCGAGCATGGACACGGAGAAGCAGCGGTACTGCGTGGAGAAGCGGTTCTGGAAGACCCGGGGAATCGGGTGGTCAAACATGTTGAAGGAGAACTGGAAGGAGGAAAGAGATGCTGCAGTTAACACAGAACGAAGGCACGTTTCTTCTGTCAACAGCTAGAGCGGGTCAGGGTGTCAACGCTCAAGAGCAAGACAAACCTGCACCCAGTGAGCACCTCCTGGGAGCAGGACGCACCTCACAGCGGCTTCTGCCAGCTGGTGCGTCCAGTCTGTCCCGGCAACCTCTTCCCCACCATTTTCAGACGGTGCATCTTACTAAAGTATAAAACTGCCCCCAGCAAGCCTGTCCTTCACCTCTTTCACCCCCCGCCCCCCATCCCCCAGGTCTCCTATGACGGCCACGACCCTGCCGGGCTGCTCCCTTGGCCTGGACCACTTTTCCTCTCCTCACCCCGTTTAGGAGTGCCACTATCTGCCAGGTTCTGGTCTCCAAGCACCAGGTAAACATCACCAACAAAAGAGCTACAACCTCTGCCCCGGCAGAGCTGACACTCAAGACAAGGGAAATAAGAACAGAAAACCATCTGTGTGTCAGTATTCTGAGCACAAGAGAGGGTAAAGGACCAAGAGCTCCTGGGAACGCTGTTTTAAGTGGGTGGTCAGGAAGCACTTCTCTGCAGAGACCTGAAGCCAGGAGAGGGAGCAGGCAGAAAACAGGGAACAGTGATAAGAGCAGGTGCACAGGTCTGCACCCCTCCCCCTTCCCCTGGCTTCCAGGACCACCCTTTCCTTGCTCTGGGAACCTTCCCTGCTCTGCCCAGGGCCAGGGCTAGCACCTCTCCAAAGTGCTCTCACGTGGCGCCACACCATGGCACTCCCTCCATGCCTTTCATAAGTAAAGCCTAGACATGGTGCCATCACAAAAGTAAGATCCCAGCTCTTACATTGTAGGTTATGATGAGGCTCAGAACACATGCTGCCAACAATCTAGGGTCTTCCCAAAGCACTGCAACTACTGTGACGTGTCAAAAAGAAAGGATATAAAATTGCACAATAGGATATATACCCAAAAGAATTGGAAGTAGGGTCTTGAAGGTATATTTGTACACCCAGGTTCACAGCAGCGCTCTTCACAATAGCCAAGAGTTGGAAACTACCCAAATGCCCATCAACAAATGAGTGAATAAAGAAAATGTCTATCCATACAATGAAATATTGTTCAGCCCTAAAAAGGAAGGAAATTCCAACACATGCTACAACGGTGATGAACTCAGTGGAATAATAACTCAGGACATAATGCTCAGTGAAATAAGACAGACACAGAAGAACAAACACTGTAGGATTCCACTTATATGAGATACTTAGAGTAACTAGTCAAGTTCAGAGACAAAAAGAATGGTGGTTGCCAGGGGCTAGGGGGAGGGGGAATTGTTTAATGGGAAGAGAGTTTCAGTTTTTCAAGACCAAAAAGTTCCGGACATCCATTACACAACAACGTGAATATACTTAACACCACTAAACTGTACACTTATAAATGGTAAACTTATAGTACATGTTTTTTTACAAGCTAAAAAACTTTTAAACAGACGAGTATTTCCTGACTTGATTCTAACTGTACACTAAGTAGAGGAAAAATCAGGTACTGATGAGACAGTTTACTAGCAATTCCAAAATCAGCAAGCTGAGCCAGCTGTCTTCCACAGATGCAGATGCAGCTCCTGCTTAAACTCTCCAATGGTTCTCCACTCCCTGGAGCGCCAGCAAAGTAGTTTTCACACCCGTGCCTCTCCTTTTAACCAGAATTCTGTTCGACAAAATCTTGGCCAGAAGCAGCGTTCTGGACGAAAAGAAGGGAGAGGAGTAGGGGCCTCCTCACTACATTCCCCCCCCCCCATCTAAGCCCTGTCTTCTCTTTGCAACACGAAAGAGAAAAATGGACACAAAGTACTGAACACCGGGTGCCAACCTGCCCCGCATCCACCCACGGACCTGACCTCCCGCCCCGGTCCCACTTCCCTCTACAGCCCCGGCGCCAGCACACTGCCCGGCGCACGGCTGGTGTTCAGCTGTTAGGTGGCTAACCCTGAGGAGAGAGAGGGGACCCGACACTGACACACTAAGGATAAACTCGCATGCGATAAACCTGTGACACCGGCAGCGCCCGGCGCGGTGCTGACACAGCTCTGCAGGCATACCCGGCTTCAAGTCCCCACTGCCCGCGTTCGTGGCCTACACTACGCGCCTCCCTAAACCTCGTGGTTCTCGCGCCGACGCGGCGGCCACCACCCTCCCTCCAGGGGCGCCGCCGGGGCCCAAAGGATGAGGGATCTCGGGGCCGCGGTGCCCAGGGCGGCGGGGCGGGGCCGCAGGCCGGCAGGACCGAGCTCGCGGGACTGGCCCGTGAGCTCTCCTCTCCCCGCTACAGCCCCCCAGCCGATCCGGGGCTTGTTCGCGGGAAGCCATCTCGGGTCTACACAAGCAAGGCTGCGTTCAGTCCCGAGCGGCGGCGGGCTCAGGCCGGTGACTCGGCACCTCTGCGGCCGCCACGTCCGTCCACCCGGCCCCGACCCCGGCCCCGGCCCGCCCTGCCCGCCCGGCCGCTCACCATGGTGGACGCCCCCGCCTCGCAGATGCGCTTCGTCAGGGAACGTTACGGTGGGAGCCGCCGCCGCCGCCGCCGCCGCCGCCGCCGCCTCGCGCGGACGCCCGGAGCCCACCGGAAGTCCGGACCTGCACTTCCGGGAGGGGGCGCGAGCGCAGGCTGCTGCGAATGAAAGCCAGGCAAAGGCGCGAGGGTCCAAAATTCCCGGAGAGTGAGCGCTCAGATACCCCTTCCTAACGTGTGCACTCTAGAGCACCTTACGTGATTATTTTAAATTACAGTTTGATAGTGTCCCCCTCCTGACGAATTTGGTGCGGCCCACTCCCCTTACTGCCTACACTACCCAGAAGGCACGCAGACCTTCCGGCCTCTGCTGCGGCCATCGAGGACTCGGGCGGAAGTAAGCCACACTTCCGCCCTTGAACTAGGCCGAGAGCCCATTGAAATCCTAAACTGACGCCCTTGTCTGACGTATACATGAATTTAATTTGTGGCGAGAAGGTTTCTTTTCCCTACAGGTCCCAGTTGGGGGGAGTATTCTTCTCTTCCCAAAGTAAAGATGTCCGCCGAGCGTAGGTAACGGAGTCAGAGTTGAATTGCGCAACCGCGAGTGCGTCCGGCCCGTGGATGACGCTTCTTTGGGGGCGGGCTGGACTATTCCAGCCGTAAATGGCGGAGCGCTAGTGCCCGCCCCCAGCGTGGACCGATCAGAAAGGAGGAAAGGCTGGGAACGGAGTCCCTGTTGGTTGGACCCCGGGCCAATCGGAAGAGCGCTGATTTGGCGGGAGTCTTGACCGTCGCCGGGCTCGCGGGGTTTCTGCGCGAGCTAGGGTGGTGTCTCGCCGCGGTAGCCATGTTCGTGTCAGATTTCCGCAAGGAGTTCTACGAGGTGCTCCAGAGCCAGGTGAAGCCTTTTTTGGGCCCCGAGGCTTGGGGGGAAGGGACAAGGGCCCGCGGCCGTGGGGTGGGAGGGGCCGGGCTTCGGGGCGCCGCGCTCAGCCGTTTCTCCCCCGACAGAGGGTCCTTCTTTTCGTGGCCTCGGACGTGGACGCTCTGTGCGCTTGCAAGATCCTTCAGGTGAGGCCCGCGGGCTGGGCGGGCGGGGGGCGCGGGGGAGGAGCGGGGCGAGGACCCCATCCCGGGCGAGAGCTCGTCCTGGGGCGGGGACTCAAGAAGGCTGCTTCCCTGGCGGGACGGCGTTGGGTGGGTTAGAGGAGAACTAGGTAAAAGGCAGGGAGACTAGTTAGTATCTCTGTAGCAACCTGGGCACAGAATGGTTGCATTCGAGAGACCCGTAGACCTGTGGCGGCTTCTCACGTGTGGGGTTTGAAGCGGAGGAATCTGACAGCTGAGGGCACAGTGGTGTCATAAGTGATTCTGGAGATACTCGATTCTTTAGCCTGTTAGGGAAGATCGTTGGTTCGGTTTTGAATATGGTGCAAGGTTTACATGGGCTTTGGTCAGAGGCCCTTGGGTCAGGAACTACTCAGAAGACATAGAAAAACCATCAGCTTTTCAGTTTTCTTTTGGTGATTTTCAGCAAAGTTGACCAGATGATTCAGTGGACATTCATGTCCCCATCACCTACTTGCTGACATAAATATTTCACTAACCTTAGGTTATCACGTGTTGTTTGTCTCTCATCTTTTTTTTTTTTTTAAGTGCATTTCAAGGTAGATTGCAGACATCCTAACTGCAATAGGTTTTGAAAGAAAATCTCTCTCCAGGCCTTGTTCCAGTGTGACCACGTGCAGTATACGCTGGTTCCAGTTTCTGGGTGGCAAGAACTTGAAACTGCATTTCTTGAGCATAAAGAACAGGTATGAGAGATGCATTTGAGAATATTTGGCTTTTTTTTACTCAATTACAACTTCTTAACACTGAGCATTCTTTCTATGTATACAATAGGTTGCATGTATTTCTAACTACCGACTTTCTTCAGAAGAGAAAAGTGAGCTATATGTCCAGGTGACTTACTCTCAAATTGTGGAGACAAAATTGACAACAAAATAGAGATAGTGAATATGGACAGCCTCTAACTTTGAACTTGTATTGCAGATACATTTCATCGTAAGGTGCTTGGAATTTGGCAGGTTGTTTTTTATATGGCCTTGTAAAAATTACTTTACATTAGACTACTGTTTCATATTTATCTCTCCAAGAAAACGTATCCAGGTTTCCAGCTTGAAATTCAGGAACATACCGTATCCTTTTGAAATTTAAGCAGTAGAGGCCAGGCCTCCTCCCACCTTTGCATGGAACTATAATGAGAGATGGGACATCTGAGACCCCACAGCCCCACAGGGAGAGACTGGAGTCTGGAAGAGGGTCCCTAGAGTTTCTGGCCACATCTAGGACTGTCTGGCAGAGATAAGTCCTCACCCGGTGCTCCTGTCATCATGAGAGGGACCTCTGCCAGTTCAATATTTATAAGGAAAGGGTTTTCTATAGTGATAGAATGTAATTAAAGGGTTAACTTAATATTTAGGTGCTTGTTAAGTGTGGGCTACCTAAGACTTGCTAGAAATTTAACCCTGTGCCATGCTACTAGCACAGAAAGATAATTTGTCACAGTAGAGTGACAGATCAGAAGAGACCCGGTTATGCATTTGAACTCTTGGTCCATCCACATCACCTTCTTGACCCCAAGCCTGAGACTCGGGCACACTCATCCTCTGCCTGCTCCTCGTTGAAGCCAGGACAGGCATGGAACCCACCTCACAATGTCGCGGTGGAAATGAAATGGTATATGGAGTTGTTAAAGCACTTGCACAGGCCAGCTGTGGCCGTGTTTGGAGCCCCTCACTGTCAGCGCCTCGCCATGCGTCAGGGGCTGCGTGTGTCTCAGCAGGACTCGGGCCTAATGCTGAAGACAAACAGCCTCCCCCACGCGCTTACTCACAGGGTCCCTGTCCTTTTCTCAGTTCCACTATTTTATCCTCATAAACTGTGGTGCTAACGTGGACCTGTTGGATATCCTTCAACCCGATGAAGACACCGTATTTTTCGTGTGTGACACTCACAGGCCAGTCAATGTTGTGAACGTGTACAACGATGCCCAGGTAAGCCGGCCTTCGGGGCCCACGTCTCCCCTGAGTTCTCCTGTCTGTCTGTCTGTTCCCTTTTATGCTGCGGACAATGTGATGCCTGGTGTTCTTGACAAGGCCCATGTCCACCTCCCCTATAAGAGCTGGAGCAGCCTGAGGACAGAACCTGGTCTTGTCCATCTTTGATGAGAAACATGGCACCTAACCTTGGAGGTGCTCAGAGGGTGTGTATGGAATTCGCTTGTCCTGGAAGGTGTAGGGACCAGAACCTGCCCTGAGTCTGCACTCCAAGCTTAGGCCAGCCCAGCCTTATTGAATATTGGGGGACCTCAGAGGTACCTCCCCTATAAATGGGGCTAGGATGCACCCTGCCCATCCAGGGTGGTGTGGGGACCAGCAGGACAGTGGTGTGAGGCTGCTGTGAGCCTGCCATGGCTCTGTCACACGTGCTCTTTGACCCATCAGCAGTGGGCATGCATCCACAGTAACAAAGCATCAGCCCTGAAACTCTCACGTGAAGGGCCTCTTAGAGACAGGAGCTTTGCTCGCTTCAAGGTCACCGATCTCCGTGTCCTCTGTCAAAGGCTGAGGTACAAGGCATTCGTTTTGTTGGCTGAGTATGTGGCCTAAGAGGAAGCTTTTTTCCAAACTTAATGACTGTAGGTAGTTTTCAAATTCCTGTAGTTTCTATGCACCGAATTGCATGCAGATTCCAGCGACTCGCTGTGGCCAATCGAGAAATAAGACTGCGAGAGAAAACGTGATGGATAGTTTTCCATGAATGACAGAGGAGATTGATTGCTTTTTGTTTTAATCTTAGATCAAACTGCTCATTAAACAAGATGATGACCTTGAAGTTCCCGCCTATGACGACATTTTTAGGGATGAAGAGGAGGATAAAGAACATTCGGGAAACGAAAGTGACGAGGGGTCAGAGCCTTCTGAGAAGCGCACACGGGTGGAGGAGGTGGGTTTGGGCCTCTCAACACGGTCTTGAGGAAATGACCACTCCCTGAGGTCAGGGGTCAGCCCGGAGCCTGTGGGCCCAGGCAGAGATGGGAGGCAGCAGGTGTGGGTGCCAACTCTGTGCTCTGCCATCCCGTGGCTGTGTGGCCTCAGGCAGGTTTCTGGACTTCTCTGAGCTGTAGCATCCAGCACTGGTGGCTTCTGCGAGATGTGGAATTACAGGCGGGAGGCGCTGCTCCCCCCACACAAGGGATGAGATTATTCTAGTGCTCGGTGTTGTAAGGAAGCTAATGCCCTCTGGCCCCTGGTCCTTGGTGTGCAGGCTGAGATTTGCCTCTGGAATGTTTGGGGTCCTCCCTTCATCCTTGGCCTGACCAGAGCCTTGGGAGGAGCCCTTCAGGGCCATGTTTGGGATGTTCTGGACACTGTCCATCTGTAGGATGTGTCCTGCTTCCTCACCTGCCTGCTATTTCTAGAGTCTTGGGTCATCCGATTGGGACCTCTCAGACCCACTCTGAGATTTCTTTCCTCTTGCCTGGCTCTTTATCTGTTCTATTTTCCAGCCAACTTTTGGTCTTTATCTTCTAATCTTTGATTTTTTAGAGCTCTTTCTTTTTATTATATAGGTTCCAGGTGTACAGCATTATAATCCAACATCTGTGTACACTGCAAAGTGCTCACCACCATGAGCCTAGTTATCATCTACCACCATATGCTGGATCCTGATCCCCTTCACCCATGTCCTCCGCCCCCCCCAAGCCCCCTCCCCTCTGGTAACAAATCTCTGTATCTATGAGTTTATTTTTGTTTGTTCATTTATTTTGTTTTGTTAGATTCCATGTGTGAGTGAAATAATATGGTATTTTATTTTATGTTTTATCTTTCTCCATCTCAGTTCACTTAGCATAATACTTCAAGGTCTATCTATGTTGTCACAGTGGCCGAATTCCATTTTTTTCTTTTTTTATGGCTGAGTGGTATTCTATTGTATATACACACCACATCTTCTTTATTCATTCATCTGTCGACGGACACTGAAGTTGCTTCCATGTCTTGGGTATTGTAAACAGTGCTGCAATGAACATTGGGGTACATGTATCTTTTTGAATTAGTGTTTTTGTTTTTTTCAGATATATGCCCAGGAGTGGAGTTGTTGGGTCATATGGTAGCTCTATTTTTAGTTTTTGAGGAACCTCCATACTGTTCTCCATAGTGGCTGCA